AAATAATACCTAGATTATCTAAATCAGTTTGGTAGATCAGTCTTGGACCCGGACTTTTGATTCAAATATCTTTGTATCCGGGTCCGCTACACCAAGAAAAAAATACTTTCCCGGAATTAGGGTACAAATAAATACCTCCGGAAAAAATAGAAAAAAAAAAAAAAACAGTGAGGAAAGGTCAAAAGACGGGCGAGGCCTACTATATGATACCCTACACCACTATGCATATTTAGTAGAGCTCCCGTAACAAGAGAATTTATTTCAAGTAGATCATACCGCCTATCAACATTTGGTTTTAGATGGAAAATTATATCCCGAAATTCACTCCACTTAGCCTGATATTAGCCATTATTTGCAAAATAGACCTAAAATGAAGATATATGGAAGCTATAAAAATATATTGGAGCAATATCCAAATCTTAGCCGTTTTCGATAAAATTTGTCAAAGGTATTTCTGAGCTTCATAAGATATCTGGTACCAAATATCATTGTTGTCGAATTCATACGACGAATTTGAGAGACTTAAACACCAAATCCGATGAAACATATATATTGGAGCTATAGATTTTCTCCGAATTTGATTGGATGTACCAAAATTCAGGACTTTTGGACTGATATTGGCCATTTGGTGCACAGTTAATCCGAAATCGGTTGGAAATATATTTGGGAGCTATATCTAAATTTGATTCGATATTCATGCGATAATGGGTCTTACAACCCCAAATCGGATGTAACATATATATGGCAGCTATAGCTACATCTTAACCGATTTTCATCAAAAATTATGTACTTGCGTCTAGACTGAATTCGGTCGGATGCGCGAAGATTCAGTTCATTTGAACTGATATTGGCTATTTGGAGCACAACTAACCCGAGATCGATTTAGGATATATATATATGAGAGCTATATCCAAATCTGAACCGATCTCGACAAAATTTTATCCACTAATTTCTGAGATGTATCTGATATCTGGTACTAAATATCCAAATATATGGATATTTTCCATATGAGGCACTTAAAACCCCATATCGGATGACACATATACATGGGAGCTATAGCTATATCTGAACAGATTTCCACCAAATTTGATTTACTTGCCTCTAGACTGAATTTGGTTGGTTGTTTCAATTTTTAGGTCATTTGAGCGGATATTGGCCATTTGGTGCACAAAAAACCTGAAATCGGTTGAAGGTATATATGGGAGCTATATCTAAATTGGGACCGATTTTCATCAATTCCAATTAGGTTCGTCCTTGGGCCAAACGAATATTGTTTGGAAAATTTCATATCGATCGGATAATGAATGCGACCTGCATATAGTTCAAAAAAATACATGGATGCCCGGTCGGACGGACTGACATGCATAAATCCTCTCAGAATGTGATTTTATGGAGATCCTCAAAAGTAATTATGGGTCTATCTCGCTTCCTTCTCCATGTTAGAAAAAAAAATGCAGAAAGATATAATACCCTTATCACTATGTGGTGTAGGGTATAAATACTACGACAGTCGAGGAGAGTATTTCCATAGCTACCCCAGGACCACACATATCTTATACCAGGAAATCATCCAAATTCAATGGTGATCCATCCGGAACTCATCGCTACCAGAATTTCAAAACTGAAATCGGAGCCATATGTTGACCTAAGGTACCCAATCACCCAGAATCATTTCTCATCTCATTGAAGAGGCCGAAATATTGAGAAGAACGTACTCTTACATAATTAACTGGCCTGGGCCACACTTATCCTATACCAGGAAATAATCCAAATTCAAGGGTGGTCTATCCAAAAATCATCACTACCAGAATTTCAAAACTCAAATCGCCAAATGCCATATGCTGACCTAAGGTACAGTTGCTCAAGTCCCCACAATAATTTCTGGTCTCAGTGAAGAGAGCCAAATATTGAGAAGAATGTACTCTTGCCACAGCGAACGTATCGAAAGGAAAAAAAATATAGAGACATCTGGATCGGGCAATAAATGCGACCTGTACTTTGTTTACAAAAATACATGGACAGACGGACAGACGGACGGACGGACAGACGGACGGACGGACAGACGGACGGACGGACGGACATGCATAAATCGACTCAGAATGTGATTCTATGCAGATCATCAAAAGGAACTATGGGTCTAACTCGTTTCCTTCTGCCTGTTACAAACAAATGCACAAAGACATAATACCCTGACCACCTTGTGGTGTAGGGTATAAAAATATTAATACTGTTAGACCAAGTATTTGTATGAGGATATAAGGAAAAAAGATGAATAATTTTCTTTAAGCGGATTGAACAAATTGTGGGCCAAAATGGTTTAAATTTGAAAATTACGAAAACTGAGATTCATTTCACAATTTTAACCAATAAGTTGTAGATTGGACCAACTATGAAAATTAAAGCATTTATAATTAGAAATAGGAGGAAACTAATACATGGGAGACATATCCAAGTCTGAATCGATTTGTGCCGAATTTGACGGAGGCATATGTAATTCTTGTACCATACTGGCACCCCATTATATATATAAATATATATTGACCTCAGGATGGTGACTGAAAATCCTTAAAATATCCTTGTCCTCAGGATGTTTTTTTTTTTTTTTTTTTTTAAACCTTAAAATATCCACGCAACTGGACTCAGGATGTTCTTTAAAAAAACCTTAAAATATCCACGTCTATTGTTAAATTCTTAAAAAGCCAAGCCGCGATGGTCTTTGAAAAATCCTTAACAAAATCTACGCCTATTGACCTCAGAATATTGTTTGAAAAATCCTTAAAAATCCACGCCTATTGACCTCAGGATGGTATTTGAAAAATCTTTAAAAATCTACGCCTATTGACCTCAGGATGGTATTTGAAAAATCTTTAAAAATCCACCCCTATTGACCTCGGGATGGTGTTTGAAAAATCCTTAACAAAGTCCACATCTACTGACCTCAGGATGGTTTTTGAAAAATACTTAAAAAATCCACGATAATTAGTCTTTGAAAAAATCGTCAAAAATTCACGCCTATTGACCTCAGGATGGTGTTTGAAAAAGTCCTTAACAAAATCCACGTCTACTGACCTCAGACTGGTGTTTGAACAATCCTTAAAAAATTCACATTTAAAATATCCACGACTATTGACCACAGGATTGTGTTTGAAAATTTGTTTTTTAAAAAATCTACGGCTGATGACCTTAGGTTGGTCTTTGAAAAATCCTTAAAAATCAACGTGTGTTGACCTCAGGATGGTGATTGAAAAATCCATAAAAAATGCACGTCTATTGACCTCAGGAAGGTGTTTGAAAAATTCTTAACAAAATCCTCGCCTTTTGACCTCAGGATAGTCCTTGGAAAATCCTTAGAAAATCCATGCCTATTGACCTCAGGATGGCCTGGTATTTGTAAAATTCATACAAAAATCCACGCCTATTGGACTCAGAATTTTGTATTGAAGTACGGGTGCGAGGGACTTCAATAAAAAATTGGATAATAATATATAAATATGGGACCTATAGTTATATCTGAACCGATTTTCAGCAAATTTGGCTCACTTGCTTCCAGAAATTTATTTAATTTGGGATGATATTAATCATTGGCTGGACAATAAACTCAAAATCGGATAAAGATATATGTGGGAGTTGTACGACAATTCACAAACATTTTAATGGGATGCCGGGACCAAACTAATATTTGGGACCTGTACTAAAAATACATGGACAGACAGGCGGACGGACATCGGTTAATCGGCTCCGAAAGTGATTCCATGAGGATCCTCAAAAGTTGTTATGGGTGTGGTGTAAAAAAATAAAAAGTTAGATATCATCTCACCATTCGGAGTAAGGTTACGATCGTAGAAGATGTGCAGTCCATAAACAGTACCAAACTGTGGCCTATCTGCATGCAATTCTCCACTCCAAAATTCTGTTTATTTCCATAACCATGGAGGCAAAAATGAGCTAGACCACGATCTCCAACAAAAGTTTCAATTTTTTTCGATGACTCAAGATCATTGATGTCCCATATCGTTCGTATTCTTCGAATCCACTTTTTATACCCTCCACATAGCATGGAGGAGCATAGGCATACCGTTTGTAACACTTCGAAATCTACATTTTAGACCCCACAAAGTATATATTCTGGAGCAGCATAAAATTCTATGTCGATTAAACAATGACCGCCCATCTGTCTGTCTGTCGTTATGGGGAAATTACTCTAGTTTCCGAATGAATTGAAGTAGATTGATAAAATTTTATTCAAATATGTGTTTGGTCTGCAGGATCTTTTTCTGTATTGAAAATAGGGTATATAGGTCAACGTTTAGATATAGCCCCCATATAAGTGAACCTCCCTATATTCGGTATTTTTATGATTTTGCCAAAAAAAAAAGGGAAGAAAGTCTTGAAGTGGGTCGGGGCCGATTTTATGATACCCTACACCACTTAGCTAATTTAGTAGAGCTCCGTATAACAATTAAACGTTTTTATGGGAGAATTCAATCATACACGCTATGATTATAATTATAATTTAAGGTTCAAAGGAATAAATATGCCGATGCATTTGTATCTTTTAAATTCGGACTTGTATTGCCCATTTGGTGCACAATTAATTTGAAATCGCAAAAAAAAAAAAAAAAAAATATATATATATATGTATATATATATATATATATATATATATATATATATATATATATATATATATATATATATATATATATATTTCTTTTTTTTTTTCTTTTTTTTGGCAAAATCGAAAATTCTCCATTGAAAAAAAAAAAAAAAAAAAAAAATATATATATATATATATATATATATATATATATATATATATATATATATATATATATATATATATATATATATATATATATATATATATATATATATATATATATATATATATATATATATATATATTAACATTATTTAAGCTCATTGCATTTTAAATTTTAATATTTTTTTTTTTTACAAAAAATATATATATCTAACCTTAAATACTAAAATTTCCGATTTTAATTTACATACACATATAATCTGGCTTAAGCATATGGAAGGTAACATTACCACAAAAAAAGGAGAACTCTTCCAAAAAAACCACACAAATGCCGCTTTTCTTTGTAAATCGCTTCGTTGGAACATTTTCACAAATTTCAGGTGATCCATTATTTCCAAATCAGGAGAGGCTAAGGAGGGGGGTCTGGCTGACTTTAAGTCTTCGCACCAAACAATTTCCTTTGCCAGCGAAACAGAGGTCATCATAGCTGGTCGTTGCCAATGTGTGTGGTGTCCGTTGGCAGGGAATGTGTCTAAAGTTTCAGGAAATACAAAAGAGAAAAAAAAGAGAAAGAGAAACAAACGGAAATACAGCGAATAATTGATGGTTGCGATTGCCAAAAAAAAAAGAAGGAAAAAACGCTAAAAGGAAGAATAGTAACAGTTGCATGTTCTTGGCTTGGCATTTTGCCCCACTGACCCATGGCAGGCCGAGAGGCCGAGAGGCCAAAACTACCAAAAAAAAAAAAAAAATTAAAGTACTGTTTCTTTTCTTCTCTTCTACTCTACTCTCCTCTCTCTTCTCATTCCTCTCACGACCATTACTCACACACTCACTCACCTGTATGGCCTGTCGTTTGTGATGCATCGATGAATTTGTTGATGATTTTGTTTTACTTTTACGCCACGAGCACATCAACAGCTCCCTCATGCCCTTGCGGAAGTTGCGACTCAAAAAGGCATAGAGCAGTGGATTGATGCCCGAATTGAAGTAGGTAACCAGAAATGTTAGGGGAGTTAGCAAAGCATTGAAATTCGAATCGCCACGATATGAACGGGACCTGAAAGGAAGATGGAAGGGCAGATGGGGATGGTCGGTTAGCAAGAAAGTTAATCATAACAATAATGAAACAATAAAACTTTACTTTCGGTAATGAGAAATCAAAACCCTGAGGGTCGGTTCTTCATAATTGTAATGGCAACGTAAATAGAAAAGTTTCCAATTGAAAACTTTAATTGGAAGTTCGAAGAGCCAAAAAAAAAATATTTCGGAATTTTATAAAAACCTGATTTTGTTGTCATAAAAAATACAACGTTTTGTTGAAAGAAAATCTTAAAAGGACACTACTTCCCTGATGCATGTTCTGTTAAAAATGAGACGGTATAAAATTTGAGGTTTAGGAAATTCAGGCCAAAAACACTCTGCAACCAAAAAAAAGACAGGTAAAAAAAGCACGTAAATTCGGTCGGGCCGAATTTTTTACACCCTCCGCCATTTGAAAGGAACTTGAAAAATTACAAAAAAAAAAAAAAACAAGTTAAAAAGCAGTAAGTTCGGCCGGGCCGAAATTTTGAATACCCTCCACCATTTGGAACGAATTTCGAAATTTTCAAAAAATAAAATACTTAAAAAATTCTGTTAAAATTTAAAAAATCCCAAATTTAGCCGTTTTATTGGGGTCAAACAATTTCGGTGGATATTGTACCTAAAATCGTCAAAATACCGAATATAGGGAGGTATTGATATATGGGGCCTATACGAAGACCTGGGCCTGCATAGGCAATTTTCTATCACAGACTGTAATTCCCTTTACGAACTCTAAATACCTAATTTGAAACAATTCCGGTGAATAATGGTGCTAAAATCATCAAAATACCGAAAATCGGGAGGTACCGTTATATGGTGGCTATACGAAGACGTGAACCTGCAAAGACAATTTCTTGTCATATACTGTAGTTCCAATTAGGATTTTTAAATACAAAACTTGAAACAATTCCGGTAAAAAATGTCGGTAAAATCATCAAAATATCGAATATCGGGAGGTACCGTAATATGGGTGCTACACGAAGACATTGAGCTGCACAGACCATTTTCTGTCATAGGCTGTAGTATCCATTTCGAACTTCAAATACCAAATTTGAAACAATTCCGGCAAATAATGTCACTAAAATCATCAAAATACCGAATATAGGGAGGTACTGATATATGGGGCCTATACGAAGACCTGGGCCTGCATAGGCAATTTTCTGTCACAGACTGTAGGTCCCATAAGGAACTTCAAATACCAATTTTGAAGCAATTCCGGTGAATAATGTCGCTAAAATCATCAAAATACCGAATATCGGGAGGTGCCGTTATATGGGGGCTATACGAAGACCTGGGCCTGCATAGGCAATTTTCTGTCACAGACTGTAGTTCCCATTACGAACTCTAAATACGTAATTTGAAACAATTCCCGTGAATAATGACGCTAAAATCATCAAAGTACCGAATAAAGGGAGGTACCGTTATATGGGGGCTATACGAAGACGTGAACCTGCACAGACAATTTTCTGTCTTAGGCTGTAGTATCCATTACGAACATTAACTACGAAATTCCAAACAATTTCGGTGAATAATGTCGCTAATATCATCAAAATATCCAATAAAGGGAGGTCCCACTTGTAGGAGGGCTAACCTAAGACGTGGACCTGCACAGACAATTATCCGCCATAGGTTGTAGTACCCATTACGAACTTTAAATTCAAAGTTTGACACAATTCAGGTTTATAATTTCTCGAAAGTCCTGGAAATATCGAATATCGGGAGGTACCGTTTCATGGAGGCTATACGAAGACGGGGACCTGCACAGACAATATTCTGTCATAGGCTAAAGTATTTATTACGAACTTCAAATAACAAATTTGAAACAATTCCGGTGAATAATGTCGCTAATATCACCAAAATACCGAATATCGGGAGGTACCGTTATATGGGGGCCATACGAAGACGTGGACCTGCACAGACAATTTTCTGTCTTAGGCTGTAGTATCAATTACGAACTTTAAATACCAAATTTGAAACAATTCCCGTGAATAATGTCGTTAAAATCATCAAAATACCGAATATCGGGAGGTACTGTTATATGGGGGCTATATGAAGTGCAGGTGCAGGTCCACACAGACAATTATCCGCCATAGGTTGTAGTACCCATTACGAAATTTAAATTCGAAATTTGAAACAATTCAGGTTAATAATTCAGCGAAAATCCTGGAAATACCGAATATCGGAAGGTATCGTTGTAGGGGGGCTAAACTAAGACGTGAACCTGCATAGGCAATTTTCTGTCTTAGGCTGTAGTATAAATTACGAACTTTAAACACCAAATTCGAAACAATTCCGGTGAATAATGTCGCTAAAATCATCAAAATATCGAATATCGGGAGGTAACGTTATATGGGGGCTATACGAAGACGTAGACTTATATAGACAATTCTCTTCCAGGAGGTAAAGTAGAGGGAACTCCTTGTGTAGATTTTCAGACAATGTCATTGAAAATGTGACTAAAATTATTAAAATACCAAATACCTGAAGGGCTATACGGACCTGTGTATACAATTCTCTTTCAGGGAATAAAGTACGCAAAAGGAAATCCTTGTGTGGAATTACAGACAATTCCATTGAAAAACCAGTAAAGAAAGTCTTAAAGTCGGGCGGGGCCGACTTTATGATACCCTACACCACTTCGCTAATTAAGTAGAGCTGCGCATAACAATTAAACGTTTTTATGGGAGAATTCAATCATACACACCATGATTATAATTATAATTTAAAGTTCAAAGGACTAAATATGCCGAAGCATTTGTATCTTTTAAATTCGGAATTGTATTGCCCATTTGGTGCACAATTAATTTGAAATCTAATAAAGATATATATGGGAGCTATATCCTAATCTGAACCGATCTCGATAAAATTTGGCAAAGATATTTCTGAGCTGTATTTGATATATTTCCCTGAATATCGTTGTTACGGGGTGCATATTACGGTTGTGGGTAACAAATATAACAAATCGGATGAATAATATATACGGAAGCTATAGCTATATCTGAACCGATCTTCACCAAATTTGACATACTAGCTTCTAGACTCAATTCGATCGTAAGTGCCAAATTCCATCCCATTTGGACAAATATTAGACGTTTGGTGCACAATAAAAAGTAAATCGGACGAAGTTATATATAGGATCTATATCCAAATCTGAACCGATCTCGATAAAATTTAGCAAATGTATTTCTGAGCTGTATTTGATATATTTCCCCAAATATTACTGTTACAGAGTGTATATTACGGCGGCGGTGGACAAAAATAATAAATCGGATGAACAATATATATGGGAGCTATAGCTATATCTGAACCGATTTCGATCAAATTTGGCATATATATTTTCAGGCCTAATTTGGGTGTATATGCAAAATTCCATACAATTCGGGCTGATATTACACGTTTGGTGTACAATAAAAAGCAAATCGGACAAAGATATATATGGGAGCTATATCTAAATTTTGACCGATTTGCTCCAATTTCAATAGGGTTCGTCCTTGGTCCAAACAAAAGATCTGTGCAAAATTTCATCTGGATCGGGCAATAAATGCGACCTGTACTTTGTTTACAAAAATACATGGACAGACGGACAGACGGACGGACGGACATGCATAAATCGACTTAGAATGTGATTCTATGCAGATCATCAAAAGGAACTATGGGTCTATCTCGTTTCCTTCTGCCTGTTACAAAAAATGCACAAAGACATAATACCCTGACCACCTTGTGGTGTAGGGTATAAAAATGTGACTAATTTCCCCAAAATACAGTGTATTGAGAGGTGCCGAAATATGGGGGCTATACGATACCTTGGGCCGATATAGCCCATCATCGAACTTGACCTGCCTACAAATAAAAAACAGATCTTAGCTTCCTATCTTAATTTATTTTGACTGTAGCGTGATTACAACACACGGACAGACAGAGAGGCGAACAGACAGACTTACGGACGGAGAGGGCTAATTCATCTTAGAATTTCATGCTAATCAAGAATATATATACTTTGTTATGTCTAAAATTATTATTTCGATGAGATACAAACGGAATGACGAACTTAATATACCCTCCATATTATTTATGGTATGCAACGGTACCCCCCGATATTTTGATGATTTTTGCAATATTGTTGAATGGAATTGTTTCAAAACTTGGCACACCTCAATATTTCCATAAACACAAGATCTGTAACTAAGATGGTAGCGATCGGACTATTTCTTCTGGTACCTCCCACACAAGGGGCCAAAGTTCTGAACAACCAAAACAATTATAAAATCCGAAATATTCAAACGGTTCTCTTCAAATTTCGAAAATCCCATTATTTCTACTAACACAGGATCTGCTTCGAAGATTGAATATATCCGCGTACTCTATCGGGTGCCTCCCCCACAAAGGGTCAAAATTTTGAATATCCATGAGGCTCATACAACCTGAAATTACCATCGCACTCCATTTACACTTGGTACCTCTCAATATTTCCATCAACCAAGACCTATTATAAAGATGGTAGAGATCGGACAATTTCTTGTGGTACCTCCCTCACATAGGGTTCAAGATTTTGAAAAACAAAACACTCAAAGAATGCGAAATAAGATTCGAACTCTCTTCAAATTTCACACGTGCTAATAAAAAATCTGTTGTGAAGATGATATACATCTGTGAACCACTTCTGGTACCTCACCCACAAAGGGTATCAATTTTCAGTACTTTTATTTGTCATAACTTGCTAAACAAATCAGCGATTCTTTACAACTTGCTATATCGAAATATTTCTCTTAACCGGAAACCTGCCAACTGCTTCAGAACCTCCCCCATAAAGAGCCAACCGTTTGAATAATCATTACTCAAAGCTGGGGGCATATATCTGTCGGCAAAACCGACTGATACTATTTTACTTGTTTTTGCAAAATTTGATGGAGAATATTTTTTTCATTGACGTCATCCTTCTAAAATGATGCTTTCTTGGAGATTCTTGCACAAACT